TCTGTGTTGAAAGATCAGCTGTTATCCTGATTGGTTTACCCCTAAATGTAATCTGCTTCCTTTCTCTTGTAGCTTTTAAAATTCTCTTCTTATTCTGTATGTTGGGCATCTTCATTATAATGTGTCTAGGTGTGGATCTCTTATGATTTTGCACATTCGGCGTCCTGTAGGCTTCTAGGATTTGGGATTCTGTCTCATTCTTCAAGTCTGGGAAGTTTTCTCGTATTATTTCATTGAATAGATTGCTCATTCCTTTGGTTTGGACCTCTATACCTTCCTGTATCCCAATGACTCGGTCTCTTTATGTTATCCCATATTTCTTGGATGTTCTGCTCATGGTTTCTTAACAGTCTTGCTGAGCTGTCTATGTTCTTTTCAAGTTGAAATACTTTGTCTTCATTGTCTGTTCTAAGTGTTCTACTCTGCTGGTAGTATTCTCCATTGAGTTTTTAAGTTGGTTTATTGCTTCCTGCATTTCTAGGATTTCTGTTTGTTTGTTTTTTATAACCTGTATCTCCCTGTATAGTTGATCTTTTGCTTCTTGGATTTGTTTATGTAATTCATTGTCGAAGTGATCTTTCACTGTCTGATTTTGCTGTCTAATGTCTTCCTTGAGACTCCAGATCATCTGAAGCATGTATATCCTGAATTCTTTATCTGACATTCCATCTGCTGCAGCTATTACCTCTTCTAAAGTTGAGTTGACCTGCATTGCTTGTGGTCCTTTCTTTCCTTTTCTTTTCATACTGCTCACGTTTCTTTCTGCTTGGTGAAACTGTTGTGTTATTGAAATTTTCCCCCTATATATTGATATTGCTCTTGTATAGTTGAAAAGTCTCCCTTGCAGGGGCGGGCGGCGGCTGTGCTCCTCCTCCAATTGGGGTGATCTGTCTACCACGCTGACAGGCCGCTGGGCCTGTTCTGCTGGTCGGTTGCAGGTCTGCCTACCTTGCAGGCGCGGGCGGCGGCTCTGCTCTGCCCTTACTCCAATTGGGGTGACGTGTCTACCACGCCGGCGGGTCGCTGGGCCTGTTCCGGGCGCGGGAGGCGGCTCTGCTCTGCCCCTACTCCAATTGGGGTGTCGTGACTACCACACCGGCAGGCCGCTGGGCCTGTTTCGGGCGTAGGCGGCGGCTCTGCTCTGCCCCTACTCCAATTGGGGTGTCGTGACTATCACACCGGCGGGCCGCTGGGCCTGTTTCGGGCGTAGGCAGCGGCTCTGCTCTGCCCCTACTCCAATTGGGGTGACATGACTACCATGCCGGCGGGTCGCTGGGCCTGTTCCGGGCGCGGGCGGCGGCCCTGCTGTGCCACTCTGGCTTGATGACAAAGTGAGAGAGACTCAGGTGTTTGTGACTCACTTTCTTTACCAGGAGACCAACTGTTTCAATATTGGTACATTTATAATGTTAAAAAAATTTAAATAAAGCTCTTGCTCACATTTTGTCTCCTCTTCTAGCCAGTTTTTACTTCCCTGACCCTTTTTGTTACTTTCTCACATGACAATCAAACATTTTCTTAAGCTGTAAATATAAGCAATAAATATGTCCATTTTTTCTATAAAGTGAGCCTAATCTATAGATAGTTCTCTCCATTTTCTTTTTTACCTACTGATACAGCTTGCAGATCTTTTGATAACAATGTTAACAATACATACAGAGCTTCTCCCTTTTTCTTTTTAAGTAGCATTGTATTAAAGTGATACCTCTGAAATACAAACCAAGTATGCCTTTCCTGCTTCCCCTTTTAAAATAGAGACATTATTATGTATATTTTGCTCTTTATAGCACTCTGTCATCACTGTTGTTAGTAGGGAAGTGTGCTGCTTTCTGAACATGGTAGTGTTAAGGATGTATTTTAATTTTAACATTCTATGATTAATTTTCACACAGAGTTTTAAGATACTGGCCCCAAGGAGGGAGAGGTGTTGAGATGTAAACACTTTCAGACATAACTGATGGAGGTGTAAATGAATTTGTCCTTGTTCAGAGTCCTGTATGGATCTATCAGGAACCTGAAAAATGGCTCTGCTCTTGCACACCTGGGTTTCATTCATAGAGCTTTGACATTAAGTAGTGCTGAGAGAGAGAGAGAGAGAGAGTCAAATTTATAACAGTGTTGCCATAGTCTAATGTTTTTGTCTCCCCAGAATTCATATGTTTAAACCTAAGCTCCAGTGCAATGACATTAGGAGGTGTGCTGTTGGAAGGTGATTAGGCTCCAGAAAAGTAATTTGTCCTTTCCACCACATGAGGACATGGCAGAAAGCTTTCATCTGAGAACCAGGAAATGGGCCCTCACCAGACTCTAATTCTGGAGCATCTTGATCTTGGATCTCTAAGCCTCCAGAACTGTGAGGAATAAATTTGTTTATATGCCACACGGTCTGGTATTTTATTATAACAGCTCGAATAGAATAAGATGTCCACTATATAAGTTACAAGTATACTAAATGTCCAACAATAGAGTAGTAGTTAGCTGTATATGTACATGATGGGATTCTCAGGCAGATATTAAAATTAATGCTTTTAAAAAATGTCAGTGTCTAGAGAAAGTATTTATGATATGTCGTTGAATGAAAGGAGCAAGACACAGTCTGTTTTACCAAGTGTGATCCTGTGAAAGGAAAGATCAGTTGTACCACAGGGATTGCATCAACAGATGCAAGTTTGTATCAGTGTGTATAGGGTGGGGTAGGGAAGTAAGGAAGCCATGTTGTCTTTTCTGTATCCTAGTAATGAGAATATATGAGTTTTAAAGTGGCCACAGTTTGGGGTAAAGACAATGTTATCTGTATATACTTTATTTGGAAAACCACGGTTTTATTATATATCTTGATTTTTTTTATTACTATCATAAATATTTAAAATGTGTTGGAGTTATGGAGCTCTCAGGAGCAGAAAGTTTAAGTTCATTTCTCTAAATTTTGACAGTGGTTGCCTAGTAGTAGCATTATAGGTCACTATTTGTTTTATGATTTCCTGAACAAATGCAAATAACTTGCTTTATAAACAAACTGGATCACAAAGGATATCGGATATCATAGTATGCTAAGAAGGCATTGTTATGGTTTGGATCTGGAATGTCTCCTGGAAGCTCTGTTGAAGGCCTGGTCCCCAATGCTGTAGTGTTCAGGGGTGGGGCTTTGGGTCAGGGCTCTGACCTCATCAATGGATTAATCCTTTGGTAGCTGAACAGACTAGGTGATTTGGTGAAGACTACAGGCAGGTGGGGCATGATTGGAGGAAGTAGGTCACTGGAGAAATGCCCTTGGCACTGTCTTGTGTCTGTTTCCTTCCTCTTTCTTTCTGCTTCCTGGTTCCGTGATCTGAGTACCTTTCTTCCACCATGCCCTTCCGCCATGACATTCTGCCTCACTCAGGCCCAAAGCAATGAAGCCAGTCAATTGTGGACTGACACATATGAAATCATGAGCCAAAATAAGTCTTTCTACTTCCAAGTTATTCTTGTTGGGTGTTTTAGTCACAGTGATGAAAAACTGAGTTAACGTAGAATTTATATACCCAGGGGTAGTGGAGAACCTTTAGAAATATTTTAAGCAGGAAAATGACATGATTGTTTTCACAAGAATATGCTCTAGTTGTTGATCAGAATAAGTAACCACTTTGACTTAAATTTCCTCATCTATATAACAGGAATAATAAAATCTATCTAGTAGGCTTTTAAGGGGAAATTAAGTAGGAATAAATGATGCTTTTAGGCCAGTTGAAGTTTCAAATAATATAACCACATTTCTGAAACTGTGTATCAGTGAGGCAAAAAAGTAAGCTTTTCAGAAATGAGAAAAGTCTGTATTCAAGAAATTCAGATCACTTTTATAAATTTGTATTTATAATTGTGACATAATTCTCTCATCTTACAATATCACTGAACTTGAAGTTGACCTATTTTTCCAGCATTTTATTTGTGTCCATACTAACTAACCATCTTGTTAGTCATTCATGAACTTCAACCCAGTGAACAAATGCTCTTTGCACATAGCGTATAACACATTTTTTGTGGGGGTGTTTGGGTAGGATGGAGATAACTGTGTGTAAGAGCTTATTTTGTGAGCATTTTATTTTCTCTGATGAGAGGTCTTTCTAACTGCTTGATCTCTCAAAATGGTTCTTTGCCCTGGCTTTGTAAAATTTTCTTCATCCCTAAGTTTGTTCTTTATGCAGATTCTTCATAATCACTTAGAAAAGGCAATCTTGTTTTATTATGTTTTACATGCCTGTTTAAGACACTGAATATTGTCATCCCATCTGTATTAGTTAATACAGACCCTTAGCTTCTTTAGAAGGTGGATTAACATTTGGCATATCTGTAGATGTGTCCACAGCTCCTCAGGAGCACACCTGACCCCTAGTGACCAAAGAAGGAAAAGTGAAGGATAAGAGGAATGAGAGGGTTAAGAAACTGTTCACAGGAAGATGGTGCTCCTGGTTTCCTCTCACCTTGGAAGCGGAGAACATTTTCCTGTCGTGAACTGATGAACGGATTCTCTCATGGCAGTGGTTATAGCTGTGGAATGTCTGAAAGAGGCTGCTAAGGGGAATAGAAATGCTGCTCTCATCAACGAAATGTTGGCTTCTCAGATGTGGTACCCATAGTTTTCAAATAGTTTTGGGCAGCAGAGCTTTAGTGACTTTTAATGTCAACTACTTGTGGGGTGGGGGTGAGATAGGAAGAGGTCATTGTCCGTGGAGAGCTGTCACTCTCTCCCCTCATGTATGTTCCTTCTGGGCAATCTGATGGAGCCTGGGAAGCGTTCTGGGAAGTCCAGGTAGAGAAGTCTCTACGGAAGGACCTTGTGTAGTCCTGCACTGGATGTCCAGTGTGCAGATAGCGCAGGACATCTCTTTCAAAAACCACCTATTTTTTGTATCGGTTACCTCTGACAATGAGAAATTGAATCTCATTGTCATGTTTCAGTTTGGAAACATATTTATTGTTTCAGATGAGCATTTCTCCTCTTTTGTTTGTCTTCTCTCTAGATAAAGAAGAAGCAGCAGGATGTGGTTAGATTTCTGGAAGCCAACAAGATAGAGTTTGAAGAGGTGGATATCACAATGTCAGAAGAACAGAGGCAATGGATGTACAAAAACATCCCCCCAGAGAAGAAGCCTGCTCAGGGCAACCCGCTGCCACCTCAGATATTTAATGGCGACCGATACTGTGGAGTAAGTGGCTGGACTGTTACCATATCATTTCATTTTCTTACTCATAGCACATCAACTAGAGTGCAGCTGTTGTTTTTTTTTTTTACAGTGAAGACTGTGACCTCTTCACTCAGGGCCATAATCCAAAGAGGGAAAGCTGGAGGGCATATGAATCCAGCATCACATTCAGTGTGTGCATGTGAGTGGTTGTGTGGTGTCTTGGGTGTGAGTCTGTGTCTGTCTTCCTGTTTCTTTCTGCTTTGAAAGGGGGTGGGAAGGGAAAATGTGTGTATGTGTACTTGATACGTTCTAAATGAAGTTTATCTTTCAATTAATACATTTGGTGGGGCAGAGTAGAAGAGGGAATTATTTTTGAATCTTTATTCCTCTGTGGTATAAATAACTACTGAAAACTGATTATAACTCAGAGTTCCATTTTTTATGATTATGAACCAGAGGGATTCCTATGAACTTCTAAAACCTATTAGGTGTCTTTCTGCTATAAGTACCATTTAAGAAGGTGAAGATAATTTTGTTTAATTATCTACCTACTGTCTTAGTCCTTTTGTTAAAAAAACATTTGGTGAACTTCTTTCTAACGAGTAGGTTAGGATTTGCCTTTTGCTGTAGCTTTAAGTACATAGGTCAGTGTTTATTTTGGGACCATAGTTCGTTTGATGAGGCCTGGAGAAGGAGAAGGAGAAGGAGAAGGAGCTGCAGTGCTGAGGTACTTGAGACCATAAATAGCGGGGTTGTCTTTAGGGTGGAGTAAGGGATGATAGTGTGCTTTAGTGACTTCAGAGGAAGTAGTTGCCTTTCCCCAGGGCTCACACAGAATAAGAAGTTGGAAAGTAAAGCCATGAATAGACTGCACAGCTTTCTTAGCTGTAGATGTGTGAGGAGAATCCTGAATGTGGACTAGGCATAACTGGTCCTGGTACTGCCTTACATTGGCCAAGATACCTTTGGAAATTTACTTATCTTTTTAAGCCTGTTTCTCATCTTTAAGCAAAGGAAAGTAGTATCTGTCTTACCTCCAAGGATGTCTTGTCACTGTTTCTAAAGTCCTTCTTATAATACATTATAATATGAAAATAAAGGTTATTATTTTGTGGGTTTTTTAATATCACATATTTTATCTCATATTTTACTGAGTGAAGTGTATTATAACCAAGGCGTGTACTATTCATGCATGACTGCAGAGAATAGAGCATACTATTATGCTTGTAGACCAAAGTGAGGAAACAGTTGAAAATAAAACTAAAAATCAAGTAGCGCTAGAAAGCTTAAAACAAAAATCCAGCGATTTTCTCTCCCTAGGACAGGTACGAAAATACCTCTGTGCCTTTTGTAGTGTGGGAGTACTTTCTGGGTGTAGAATTCTAGGTTGAAAGAATTTAAATGCTGTCGCTTCATTATCATCTGCTTTCCAGAACTGCAAGTGAAATGTCTAATGCTGTTTTCCTTGATCTTTTATATGTTTGGGTCAGTCTCTTCCATATAAAGTTTTAAGGTCTCTTATTCAGGTATGTACTCAAAATTTTTTGGTAAATTACTGTCATGTACACTATTTGCATTCATTGTGGTGAGTGCTCAGTGTGCCTTTATAATCAAGAAATTGTATGATTGTATTATTAAATATGTTCTTGTATTGTTTTCTCTGAAACACTTCTCCCTAGTTTTTCCCTGTTGCCTTTGTCTTGAGTGCCTTTTAATTTGGGCATTAGATTTTTCATATAATTTTCTAATCTGCTTTTTCCCTATTATCTCCCTCTTTGATTTTTTTGCTCCTTCTTTAACTCTTAATTCTTTCATTTAATTTTTATGTCATTCCCTGCCCCCCTTGTTTTTTAGTCTTTTTTTTTTTTTTTTGCTTTTATTAGTGCATTACATTATACATAATAGTTGGGTTCATTTTGACAAAATCATACATGTATGGTTTTAATTCACTCCATTTTAGTCCTCAGTGCCTCCTCTTTCTTTTCCCTCCTCCCTCCCACTATTCTCTTTCCTCTGCTGGTCTTCCTTTCACTCATTTGTTTATTTTTATTTTTTTACTTTATTTTTTAACAACTAATAATTTTTTTATTTATATATGACAGCAGAATGCATTACAGTTCTTATTACACATATAGAGCACAATTTTTCATATCTCTGGTATTCACACCAATTCGTGTCTTCATACATGAACTTTGGATAATAATGATCATCGCATTCCATCATCAACTATAACCTCATACCCCCTCCCTTCCCCTCCTACCCCTCTGCCCTATCTAGAGTTTGTCTATTTCTCCCATGCTCCTTCTATTTATCCCACTATGAATCAGCCTCTTTATATCAAAGAAAACATTCAGCATTTATTTTTGGGGGGATTGGCTAACTTCACTTAGCATTATCTTCTGTAACTTCATCCATTTACCTGCAAATGCCATGATTTTATTCTCTTTTATTGCTGAGTAATATTCCATTGTGTATATGTGCCACATTTTTTTTAGCCATTCATCTATTGAAGGGCATCTAGGTTGGTTCCACCGTTTAGCTATTGTGAATTGTGCTGCTATAAACATTGATGTGGCTGTTTCCTTGTAGTATGCTGTTTTAAGTCGTTTGGGTATAGACCGAGGAGAGGGATAGCTGGGTCAAATGGTGGTTCCATTCCCAGATTTCCAAGGAATCTCCATACTACTTTCCATATTGGCTGCACTAATTTTCAGTCCCATCAGCAATGTATGAGTGTGCCTTTTTCCCAACATCCTTGCCAACATTTATTGTTGTCTGTGTTCTTAATAGCTGCCATTCTTAACTAGAATAATATGAAATCACAGAGTAGTTTTGATTTGCATTTCAGTTATTTGGCTCATTTATTGTTTGTGTGTGTGTGTGTGTGTGTGTGTGTGTGTTTAGCTTTTTGAGTTCTTTATATACCCTGGAGATTAGTGCTCTATCTGATGTGCGAGTGGTAAAAATTTGCTCCTAAGATGTAGCCTCTCTATTCACCGCACAGATTGTTTCTTTTGCCAAGAAGTAGCTTTTTAGTTTGAATCCATCCATTTATTGATTCTTGATTTTAATTCTTGTGCTATAGGAGTCTTATTAATGAAGTGGGGGCCTAATCTGACATGATGGAGATTTGGGCTTACTTTTTCTTCTGATAGGCACAGTGTCTCTGGTTTAATTCCTGGGCTTTGATCCACTTTGAGTTGAGTTTTGTGCATGGTGAGGAATAGAGACTTAATTTCTTTTTGTGAATATGGATTTCTAGATTTCTCAGCACCATTTGTTGCAGAGGCTGTCTTTTCTCTAATGTATGTTTTTGGCATCTTTGTCTAATATAATATAACTGTAGTTTTGTGGGTTAGTCTCTGTGTCCTTTATTCTGTCCACTGATCTACCAGTCTATTTTGGTGCCAATACCATGCTGTTTTTGTTACTATTGCTCTGTAGTATAGTTTAAGATCTGGTATAGTGATGCCACCTGCTTCACTCTTCCTGCTAAGGATTGCTTTAGCTATTCTGGATCTCTTATTTTTCCAGATGAATTTCATGATTGCTTTTTCCACTTCTATGAGTAATGTCATTGAGATTTTAATTGGGATTGCATTAAATCTGTATACTGCTTTTGGTGGTATGGTCATTTTGACAATATTAATTCTGCCTATCCGAGAACAAGAGAGATCTTTCTTTAATTTCTTTATTTAACATTCTGTAGTTTTCGTTGCAGATGTCTTTCACCTTTTTTGTTAGGTTTATTCCCAAGTATTTTTTTTTTATTTGAGGCTATTGTAAATGGGGTAGTTTTCCTCATTTCCTTTTCAGAGGATTTGTTACTGATATACAGAATTGCCTTTGATTTGTGGGTGTTGATTTTGTATCTTGCTACTTTGCTGAATTTATTTACTAGTTCTCGAAGTTTTCTGGTGGAATTTTTTGGGTCTTCTAGGTATAGCAAATAATTTGAGTTCTTCTTTATCTATTCATATCCCTTTAATTTCTTTCATCTGTCTAATTGCTCTGGCCAGTGTTTCAAGAACTATGTTAAATAGAAATGATGAAAGAGGACATCCCTGTCTTGTTCCAGTTTTTAGAGGGAATGCTTTCAATTTTTCTCCTTTAGAATGATGTTGGCCTGGGGCTTAGCATAGATAGCTTTTATAATGTTGAGATACATTCCTGTTATCCCTAGTTTTTCTAGTGTTTTTGAACATGTATGGGTGTTGTATTTTGTCAAATGCTTTTTCTGCATCAATTAAGATGATCATTTGATTCTTTAAGTGTATTGATGTGATGAATTACATTTATTGATTTTCATGTGTTGAACCAACCTTGTATTCCTGGGATGAACCCCACTTGATTGTGGTGCACTATCTTTTTTATATGTTTTTGTATTCAATTGCCAGAATTTTATTGAGAAAATTTTGCATCTATGTTCATTAGAGATATTGGTCTGAAGTTTTCTTTCTTTTATGTGTTTTTGCCTGGTTTTGGAATCAGGGTGATATTGGCCTCATAGAATGAGTTTACAAGTGCTCCCTCTTTTTCTATTTCACAAAATAATTTGTAGAATGTAGGTATTAGTTCTTCTTTATAGGCCTTGTAGAACTCAGCTGTGTATCCATCTGGTCCTGAGCTTTTCTTCCTTGGTAGGCTTCTGATGACATCTTCTATTTTCTTGCTTGAAATTGATCTGTTCAAATTGTGTATATCATCCTGATTTAATTTTGGGCAACTCATATGCCTCTAGAAATGTCAATGCCTTCCATATTCTCTATTTTATTAGAATACAAGTTTTCAAAATAATTTCTAATTATCTTATGTATTTTTGTAGTGTCTGATGTGATATTTCCTTTTTCATCCCATATGTTAGTGATTTGAGTTTTCCCTCTGCTTCTCTTTGTTAGCATGGCTAAGGGTTTGTCAATTTTATTTATTTTTTTGAAGAACTAACTTTTTGTTTTGTCATTTTTTTAATTGTTTTTTTGTTTCAATTTCATTGATTTCAGCTCTGATTTTAATTATTTCCT